AAAAAAAGGCACATGGTCAAGTTCCTGCTCTCACAGGTTTCACGGTTCTGGAATTGACGTTGACCAAGTATACAGGATGCTTCCACTTTCAGGGCAGCATTCCATTCAATCTGTGGACACTGTGTAGGAGTCTCCATGGTCCTTTCAGAGGTGGGGAGGGAGGGGAATTGTGGCTTCATTTTCACCCGGCCGGTGTTCCCACTTTCTGTTTCTCTCGCTGCCTGAAGTACCTGCAGCTGCGCAACATCTCCATTGGGAATCACGCTTACGAGAACAAGGGGACCGAGCAATCGGCCATGGCCATCTGTCAACACTTTTACAAGCAAGGAAACATCTGTCCCGGGAATGACACCTTTGACATTGACCCAGAAATCAAAACTGGTGATGTTCTATTACCTACAGCTTCATGTTTTTTCATGTCTTGATTTATACCTAAAATTAATCATTTTTTCTCTAAGAGCATTGATTTGTTCCATGCTATATGTGGTGGGGAGCCCTGGTGGCATAGTGGGCTGTGCACTGGGTTGCTAACCACAAGATCAGCATTTCAAACCCACCAGCTGCACTGTGGGAGAAAGACGAGGCTATCTACTCTCCTAAAGATTTCAAGTCTCAGAAACCAAAGAAAAGTTCCATTCTGTCCTGCAGAGTCACTATGAATTGGAATCACTGGATGGCAGTGAACTTTTTCTTTTTCCGGTTATTTGTGGTGTAGTAGAAGGGAGTTCTGGTGGCATCGCGTAGTTACTCCTTGGCTGCTAACCACAAAGCCAGCAGTTTGAAACCACCAGTTGCTCCCCAGAAGAAAGCTGAGGCTTTCTACTCCTGGAAAGAGTTGCAGTCTAGGAAACCCACAGGGCCAATTCTACCCTGTCCTGCAGGGTCTCCATGGCTCAGTGGCAGTGAGTTTTTTGAGTGGTGTCGTGGATTTCGCATGGGACTGTTAATCATAAGGTCAGCGGTTGGAGCCCACCAGCCGCTTCACAGGAGAACAAGGAGGCATTCTGCTCCTATAAAGACTTGCAACATGGGACATGCAAAGGTCCCGTTCTGTGTTGCTCGCTAGGACTGCTGTGAGGCAACATTGAGTCGCTGGCAGTGAGTTTGGTTTTGGTGTTTACTAGGCCATAAAAAGACAAAATCACTGACCTCGAGTTGAATCCAACTCATAGAAACCCTATAGAGCAGTGGTTCTCTACCTTCCTCATGCCGCGACCCTTTCATACAGTTCCTCAGGTGGTGGTGACCCCCCAACCATAAAATTATTTTCATTGCTACTTTCTAACTGTAATTTTGCTAGTGTTAGGAATCAGGCGACCTGCTGTGAAAGGGGTCGTGACCCACAGGTTGAGAACCACTTCTAGAGTGTGGCAGAACTGCCCCTGTGGGCTTCTGGGGTTATAGATCTTTATAGGAGAACAAAGTCTCATTGTTCTCCTGAGAAGCAGTTGGTGGGCTCTAGGGTTCTGCTGCTGGTTTTAAACTGTTGACCTTAGCAGCCAAATGCATAACCACTGTGCCACCAGAGCTCCCTTCCACGACACCACGAATAACGGAAGAAAGAAAAAAAGAAAGGGCTCATTGCCATCAAGGGATTCCAAGTCTTAGCGACACTACAGGGCAGAATAGAACTTCTCTTTTGGGTTTCCACGACTTTAACTCCTTGGTAAGAATTACGTAAGAGTTAACTGCCAGGAACCAGTCTAAGTTTTTTAATGCATGAATCCTCACCAAAAAACCCCACCACGGGTATGACCCTGATTTGATAGATGAAGAAAGTGTAGCTCAGAGCACTAAGTGGTCTGGTCAGAGCAGAGCTAGTAAGAGTGAGCACTGGCACTTGGCCTAGGCTCTCTGGCCCGAGTCTGCGCTGAGTCCCAGCATTCCATGGCTGTCTTGCTGGATCAGACTGCTCAGCCGACTTTGGCTTACGAGGTAACTTCTTAGTACAAATCTCAAGCCACACTAAACTGCAGTACTCCTGTCTTTGGTGGTCAGCTGGGGAAGGAATGACACCCAAAACTTAGAATACCACGGATTGTTGAAAAGTGATTTCTTTTCTTTATTAAGAAAATTCTCATTGGTAAATTTCACCTTAGGAGGTAGAGTTCAAAATTAAGCACTTAGATGCTTTTAACAATAAGCACTGGTTTTGTTTGTTTGGAGAGGAATTGGAAAGGATTAAAGTGAAACATATCCAAAAATACTGACTCCCTATTTTGTTATTTTAAGTGCCTATTGAGATAAAACTGGCAACACATAATATTTTGAAATACTTGATTCTTTAAACTACTTAGTAAATCTTATCGTGGACACTGCAAATGTTTTAAATATTATGCTTAGGGCACACAGACGCGAGGCGGAAGCTCAGTGTTCATGCGAGCTTACAACACCAGCAAGACAGATCTGCGCAATGGAACTCTAGTGAGAGGGTTCAGATCTTTTTCCACCCTCATCCACTTCACAGATTGGTGGTGGAGTGAGTTACAAACTGGGCTGGCTAACTGGATGGTCAGTAGTTCTAACTCACCAGCCACTCCATGGGAGAAGAATGATGCTTTCTCGTCTCATGAGGATTCAGTCTCAGAAACCCACAGGGACAGTTCTACTAGGTCCTGTAGCTTATGATGAATCTGAATTGAATAGATGGCAGTGTGCCAGTATGTCTGAGACACAATTAAGTCTCGAGTCAAATGACGAAGATGTCTGTATTTCAGGAGAAAGCAAAAACACCCGGGTGTCTTGTCTTAAAGTGTGTATTGTCTTTTCAAAATGCAGTTTTACTTATTTCTCTCAGGGATGGGATCATGCGTCCTCACTCTCCCTCTTTCTGTGGCAGAATGCTTCTTTGTCGGGCCCGATGAGCCCTTTCACCCTGGAGCACCGGAGTCCAGTAAGCTCAACTTCACGCTGGACTTCCACAGGTGAGGAGCAGGCGGGGTGCTGCTCGCTGTGCGGGCCTCTGCACCGCGCTGAACGCCCGCTGTTTTCTAGACTCCTCAAGGTGGAGCTGCAATTTAATCTCAAGGCCATTAATCTGCAGACAGTGCGCCAGCACGAGCTCCCCGACTGCTACGACTTTACTCTAACCGTAAGTGAGGGCTAAGCGACGTGTGGTGTGAGTAAAAACTGCCTTCTCCGATTCGGTGTTTCCGAGCTACAGAGATCATGTGTGACCAGGTCGCTAGGATCCTTCCCGTGGAACCTTGACAGCCCACTCTGTCTTGTTATAGCTTGTTCTCTGTCTTCTGCACCTCAAGGTGAGTTCAAAGGCGGCGGGCCCTTGTCTAGTTCACTCACTTAGTTCTGTCTCCCGAACTGGTAGAGCGCTGGAGAGTTGCCTGGTAGAGTAGGTGTTCCGATACCAGGCTGGTGGCAGCTGGACCTGTGCAGAGGGTGTGTCTAGCTGCTGAAATCTCTGCCTTCGGCTCTTGTTTCGAGCCTCGGCCATTGGTCACAGTGCCTTCTTTGTCTTCTTTGTCATCCCCCGCCCCCCTCCGCTCTAGATCAGCCGATCTTGCCCGCATTCTTATTATTCTAGTGGAAAACAGAGCTGCGAATGCCCCCAAGAGAGCACCAGACGGCCCTCGTGCGCATTCATCACCTCCAGAGACCAGCAGTCTGGTGCTGCGTGGTCACTTGCAGGCTGGCATTTGACACCACTCACCTTTCTTATCCAGATTCCTGCTACTTCTTCAAAAGTGCCGTATATACTCGAGTATAAGCCGACCCGAATATCAGCTGAGCCACCTAATTTCACCCCCAAACTGCCTAAAAAATGTGCTGAAAAACTCAGGATATACACGATTTATATGGCACTTTTTTTTTTCTTTTTTCTTTTTCCTTTTGTCACATCTTGATTGAAGCTGAACAACATGAGATGTTTGCCGCTTCACCCAAAATTGGTGTTTTTTTAATCTGCCCCTTTTGACGGTTCAGTGGGTCACTGGCAAAAGGCCCAATGAGTGCTTTTAAAAGGGGGAGGCACTTTGTATGAAATGCTATGACCATGATTCTCAGCTATTGGCTGTGAAAGTCTACATTTCAGAGATTGCGATTAAACATATCAGTAAAATATATTCTTAAAATTAAGCGTAGCATTTATTAAGGGAAAAAACCACTGGGACTATCAAACTTTTAAATTCAGTAACACATTTTGATCTAGCAGGTTATGAAAGGTTAATGTTACCTGATTTTTTTTTTTCAAATTGAGAATTCATCCACCGTTTCATATATTTTCTCTCTTCTGGTTTTTAGAAATGTTATGGTTTGGGATTTTTATAATCCTTCATAGTTTAGCTCAACTGCTACCTCCTCCATGGAAGCTTTTGTGATTCTTCAGTTAGAAATGGTTTTCTGCATTTGAATTCTGTGTTGAATTCTCCAGTCTTGCTTCTTTTTCTTTCTTCTATTTTTTAGGTGGTATTACCACTGCCTCCTTTATTTTAGAATTTTAAAAGATATTTTCATTATACTGGAAGCTTATCAAGACAGGATCTACTTTATTAATCTTTTAATACCTCAAAGAATGGCTAGCCACATGCTGTTAATTTTCAGCATTACTGTAGATCCCGTGCAAGCTATTCCTCTGTATTGTGGACTGAGCAGTGGACCGCTCAGAACTATAGAGCATAAATCCTACAAAAGTGGTCCTACACAAAAAATCATATCATTGTGAATGAGGGGGAGTGGGGACCCAAAACCCATCTGTAGGCAACTGGACACCCCCTATGGAAGGGTCGCAGGGAGGAGACGAGCCAGTCAGGGTGCAGTGTAGCAACGATGAAACATAACAAATTTCCTCTAGTTCCTAAATGCTTCCTCCCCCCCACCCCCACTATCATGATCCCAATTCTGCCTTAAAAATCTGGCTAGACCAGAGGATGTACACTGGTACAGATAGGAACTAGAAACATGGGGAATCCAGGACAGATGATCCCTTCAGGACCAGTGGTGAGAGTGGCAATACTGGGAGAGTAGAGGGAGGGTGGGGTGGAAAGGTGGAAAAGGGGTGGAAAGGATCTACATATAACTTCCTCCCTGGGGGACGGACAACAGAAAAGTGGGTGAAGGGAGATGTCGGACAGTGTAAGATATGACAAAATAATAAGTTATA